TTTTATACTTTTAAGCATTATTTTAGTGTAAAACTTCTCCTATATTCAATGGCATGTAAAAAAAACATAACAACTTATTAATATTAACTCATGTTGGAATCTTTTTTACTGGTCTAGTAAATATAAAGTGCAAATATCTGTACTGACTCTAAGACTGTTATAAACATGCAGTGCCACTGTGCTCGCAATATGTTCGTTAATCCAGTGAGATTTTCACTCCTAAACTCGGTGGCAGATCAAATTTTGACGTTCGAATTCAGTAAAGCTTTTCCTGTGTGTTTAAATATCGTTAGCTCTCTCTACAATGTCTACAAAATACTAAACTTTTAGGCAGAACACACATCCCTAAATCTTATAATTCCAAGGCCTCAAAACATTCACACCAGTCCAGCATCCACAGCAGTGAAGGCCAAATAATACAACTTTTATCAGCTGTTTTCAAAGACGTTAAATCTACTGGACAGTTAAAGTGTTCATCAATCAATATGAGAGAATGTCAGGTTGCAGGATTTATGGGTAATTCGACGATCGGTGTGCCAACACTTATCTACAGCCCACTATAACTATGCATTACCTTGAAATATAATCATTAAAATACTTATAAATAATCTTATTATTTGCATTAATGTGCAAATCCATTTAACATCCCATGTTTAAAACATCCTTTTCCATGAGTCATCCTTTATAGGTTATGAAGTCACATGTTCAACAGGAAGGCGTCATCAAATTTCCTGAAGATCACGAGAAGAAGAAAAGTAACTTTACTCATTCTTTTTTTCTTTATTTTCAGTGATATTGTGATAATGACTGATGAGGTTGTTTCGAAAGTACAACTCTGTTATCCAAATGATAGATTTAAAGTGAATTATTACTTTTTTTAAATTAAGTAAAACATTAGAATGTCTGTATGCCACTAACATGCATGCTAGTTAACCATATTTTGTGCATTTGCTAATTCTATGCTAAAAACCCAACCCTGTTAATCATTTAAGGGCAAAATGCAGCCATTGTCAGCAAAAAAAACTTGTAAAAATGAGATTGTTGCCTGAAAGGGGTTAGCACATTTACTCAGTGGTCAAATACATGTTTTTTTAAGAATCAACACAGAAAAAAATGTTTTATTTTTAAGAGTAATGCTGGCTACAAGGCACCACAGCTGTGGAATCTCTTTTAACAGCAGGTGTTTTAAAACCTTGTCAAGTTGGTTCCATCTACTCCTGCCATAGCTGTTTACTACTTCTCTATCTGAACAAGTATTTTAGGCACAGGACACCATCATAAAAGCCTTGTCTAATTAAAATTCCTCTTCTACATCTCCTTATAAGCACACACTCAAGCCTGTACAAGATGCTATCAACAAAGCACTTGGGACGACGAGCGATCTCTCAACAGACACCTGATAAAATCAAGGGAGGAGAAAGTATATCCTGATCACTTAAGCTTCACAGATAACCGTCAAATGCCGAATAACTTTCTTGTACAATAAAGGAAGGAAACGTGATCCGAAAAAAAGAAACAAACTCACTGATGCCCACAAACTGTGGGTACAAACAGTCTTCTGCACATGTCCTAGTGACAATGCTGCTGCCTCATCTTGGACAAACAGTTAAAATGTTTAAAATTAGAAAGGAACGATCTTAAATGTCCACAGTAAAGCCCTTCATCAAAGCTGTCATCTCACATGCCTCTGAAATTGTGCTTCCAGTGAGACACGTACGGCCTGGTGCGAGTCAAGCCAATGCCACTCGGCTCATGTGCAGGAACATAAATAAACGCATAGCGCATGTAATATGCACAGCAAGGCAAACACTCGAAGCATGCGTGCCATTGTCACAGGACACACAGTGGCATTTCACATGAGACAAGAAGCGCATGAACAAAGCTAAACAAAATCAAGTCTATACTCGTTTCCCCCCACTCTCTGTCTCAAGTTAATTAGATTACAACTTCTCCCAGATTACTGGCTTTTTATTATAGAAAATCGTTTGACTTTTTAATGAATGGTGCGTGCCACGGAACCACCGATGACAATCTAAAGAAAGAGATGTCCACGCTGCTGGGTAACGATCACGGATTACACAGCTATAAATAAAAAGTGCTCAGGATCCAGTTTCCCTAAAGGAAGCATTTAAAGTGATGATTGCTCCATAAGATTATTATGCAACAATGTTTACAGGAAAAACTCATTTAATCCCTGTCTACTATGGAACTCATCAAAACAAACTGCAATTAAATTGTAATAGGAAATGAGAACTATATCCATTACAGACGTATGACAGGGACAGGAACGTATAGTGCTTTTCCTCTGGACAGTGTGGTACAGTGCACTAATAAATCACAAATCCCATATTTCTTCTATTTCTGTATTGTAACCATTTACTAATGCTGAATTGATGTATCAGTGTTGGAGAAATCAGCAGATTTCATATCTGAATTATTAGTTATTTATTAGGGATGTAATGATACGGTGTAACATATCGTTCGATACGACGCTCTCGATTCAATGCCTATGTGTAACGAACAATATATTCAATAAACTGCATAATAAAGTAGCCTATTTGTCATAAAATTGCGCTTTGTAGTATGTGAGGTGTGATATACAGTACATTTAAACTTTTTCAATACGACACTCCTGTCTCTGAATAAGTAGCTTCCTCTTTATCTACAGGGTTTTAAAAAAACACACTTAAGCACACTCTTTTTCACGAGTTCACACACACGAGTAGCATACTAGCCAGCGTGAAATAAAGCACCTCATGCATCAGACATGCCTCCTGGAATCAAGCCGACGGGGTTGCCAGGGTTGAGGTTTGGGCATGTTTTGAAACAGCAAATCAGAAATGCGTGTGCACCACGGTGAACATGCTTCCAACACAAAGACTTAGAAAAAGAAGAAAAATGTGACTCCTTTTTTCAAATTCCTGAATTTTATAGGATAGATTCATTCATTTGGAATAGGGCTTTTTGTGTGGGTTTTGAGTTGTAGTTGTGGTGGAACTTTTGATATGACCTGGCAACCCTGCACACAAGTGCACATTAGCTGTCTTGGCCAGAGAGCTAATGTTTAATTAGTTGTGTTTTATTTAGTTACACTGTAATGCTCAGCTTTGTTTTGTTATGCACTGCTATGAGTCTGAATGGATCACACAAACTCTAGCGTCAAAAGAAAAATCATTCAAAATTCCAAACCCTTGACCATACTTGACCATTAGAGACATAATCTCGAGAAAAAAAAGACTAATCTTACCTAATGCCAATTTAAAGCTGTCATTAAAGTTTCAGATTATGCAGTGGTCATGAATGGACAAAAAAAACCCCACGATGGCTACGTGGTTAGCACTGTTGCCTCACACCTCCTGGGTTGAGGGTTCAAATCCCGCCTCCTGTGTGCTCAGGGTTTGCATGTTCTCCCTGTGCTTTGGGGGTTTCCTCCGGGTACTCTGGTTTCCTCCCCCAGCCCAAAGTCACACGTTGTAGGCTGACAGGCATTTCCAAATTGTCCGTAGTGTGTGAGTGTGTGTGGGATTGTGCCCTGCGATGGGTTGGCACCCCATCCAGGGTGTCCCCCTGCCTTATACCCCGAGTCCCCTGGTTTAGGCTCCAGGCTCCCCGCAACCCTGTGTAGGATAAGCGGTACAGAAAATGGATGGATGTTTATGGCTACATTTTTTTTTCTTATTTATGACAATGTTGCGTTATGTGTTGGACCTGATGTATCCCGTCGTCATACCAGTTGATGCGATTTCATTTATGTTATTTAGGAAATATTTGGTGGGAACTTTAAAGCTTTGTTGTTTGTTGCCAGTCCGCCCCTGATGGTAGACGCACCTAATGACACTCAGTGTATAAACACGTGGACAGGAGTGAAGGCTGGCTCTGCCATCTAACGCCAGTCTAATCCTATTACACCAGTAACACACATTAAGCACTTCAGAATCTCGACACACATAAAATAAAGCAGTTACTCACATGAGGAAACGCGCCTGCTCTGGACACATGTCCTTATAAAGCAGCGAGGCGTTGGTTAAAAACACCTGGGTTTTACTCAGAACCACTTTTTCCATCGTGCAAGAGCGGAAAAAAAATAAACCAGGTCCAGTGTGGAGGTTTAGCACTAAAAAATAAATATAGATTTACAAAAACACAACTCTGAAACTGGGATCTTTTATCTTTGCTTTCCAGCATCAAGCTACAAGAGAGAAGGACGGCAAATTTTTACTTCCGGGTCAATTCTGTACGATTTTGTCAAAATAAAAGTTATATATCCGAAAATAAAAGCAATGCGCATAAATGTTACCATTTTGCTGTCAATAAAAAGATTACTACAAGGTCAAAGCTGTAATATTAAAAATATTTTGTAGAAAAGGTTACATACACTTTCTAAGTTATAATATACGACACATAAACATGACAGATTGTTATGTGTCTAGCCTAATATATAAATGTAGAAGTGTGTGTAGTAACTGTGTACTACACACAATTTCATTATATATGACACTATACAAAACACAGGTTTAAGGGATACAGAACATAAATACATTATTTGGATTGGATTGAACAGATAATGTGATCTAAACAAATATAAATACAGATATGAATTTGAAGCACATTATTAAATATTTTTTTTCAGAAAGCTTGGTTGAGATGTACATTGGGACACAACAGAAAGTTGCACAAGGCTGAGGTTTTAACTTTCCTGTGGGTGTGAATGAGCAGTCATATGTGAAGCTCACAGGGGATGTTCATTAACATGAACGTACAGTGATCTGTCACTCATCCTTAGTAACTGCTTGGTCAGGATTGCGGTGGTTTACTGTAGGCTACTAGTTTGTTTGCTGTTGTTCTTTCGGCTGCTCCCATTAGGGGTCGCCACAAAGGATCACTGGCCCACATGTTTGATTTGGCACAGGTTACACGCTGGATGCCCTTCCTGACACAATCCTCCCATTTTTCCCTCCAGGCTTGGTACCGGCACTGTGTGTACACTCCCAGTGGCTGTGTACTGGGTTCCGGGAATTGATCCTGGGCCGCAGCAGTGAGAGTGCAGGATCCTTAGCCACTAGAGCACCAGGGACCAGGCTACAAGTTTGTTTACATTTTGGGAAATAAATCAGCTAAGCTAGTTATTGTGATCAGGTACAAACAAATACAATAAGTGCATAAGTGGAAATTAAAAAAAAAAAAAAAAAAAAAAAAAAACAGTCTTGCATATATCTGAGGTTGAGACCAATAATGAACTCGAGTGATGCAGCTGAGGTTGAGGAACTTTCAGAGCCAGAATTCACTGACCATACTGACACTGCTGCCATTTCTGCCTTGGGTTTGTTTGTTTGTTTGTTCTTTTTTTTTCAGTGTTTCTTGGGGCATAGTGGTAGATTTCATATTAAAAACAACCTTCCCGTTTCAGACATGTTCACTTCAGGTTTAAATTCCCATACAGATACAGGTACGATTATTTTGAGCACTAAACAGATACAGATAGTGGTATTGCATTTACACGGTGTCCCAAAAGTCGCCATACATAGGGGACTACGTATGCCAGCACGTCGGTTGTGCTCTCGTCAGTGGATGTTCGTGGACGTCCACTTCATGGCTGGTCCTCAACACTTCCAGTCTTTTTGAATTTGTTAATAAGTTTGGCAACAGTGTGTGTGTGTGTGTGTGTGTGTGATGTGCTTGCCATGTTTCCTGTTAAAGTCCATCGCAACCTTGCGACAGCTTCCCGATCCAGCCATGAGAATGATTTCAATACGTTCTTCTTTTGTCAAAGGAATTCTTAAAGGCTATCTGAAAAAACTATATATAATATAAAATAAATATGAGAAATTTTGGAAGATATTTTGCTAAAAAGTGTTAATTTCCCCTATGTATGGAGATTTTAGGACACCCTGTACATTCCTAATATATATATAGCTGTAATCGTAATTTTAAATAGAATGTTAATGTTGCTTCTTCTTATTATTATTATTACACCTCAGGGTCCCTGGTTCAATTCTCAGCTCAGGTTAATTCTGCATGTTCTCCCCATGTCTGCCTTGGTTTCCTCTGGTTTCTCTGGTTTCCTCCCACTTCCCGAAATCATACCTGTAGGTGGATTGGCTATGTTCAGTTGCCCTTAGGTGTGAATAAATGTATGAATCTGTGTATCCATGATGCCCAGAGATGGATTTGCATCCCATCTAGGGTGTACTGCTGCCTCCGTGCTCCATGCTCAAAGCTCCATGCTCTTAATAAGTAATGAATAAACTTCTTCTTGTGTAGCTACAGATACAGATAAACGACTACATTACCCATCCATTTGATCAAACCTAGACGTGCATGAGTGCCTCTTAGACCTAGTTACTAGTTGGACCTTGTGATGCAATGCTGCAGTAGGCTGTATCCCACTGGACTGGTGATTTCAGGGCATGCCAAGGTTAAGAGGACCAGAGCTCTATTTTCTGGATGAGAAATTGCAGGTAGTAGACGCAGCATGAGGACTGGAGAGGTGAGCCGGGAATTTCAATCCGCGCAGGAAAGTGGAGTGAAGGTTAAAGTTTTAAGCGCCCAGGGACAATGAAGATTGATTGCTTGGAGAATTGTGTTTTGTCCGCAATTACAGGGGTTGTGAGGCTGAAAATAACTTCCTTTTCGGTTAACATCGTCAGAGAACACAGCCTATATCTCTGTCTGCGCAGCGCTGTGTCATCTCTCACATGCGCGCAAGACTGAGCGCACGGACTTCTCCAGCGCGCCGAGGTGGCGCAGTGTGTGTGTGTGTGTGTGTGTGTGTGTGTGTGTGAAACTGGATATTTAAAGGCTCGGATCGGCGGTGCCAGCGGACACACACACACACACACACACACACTGAGAGGGATGATAAGGACTGAACGCGGTATGGAGCAGGCGGAGGAAGAGGACGCTCGTGCAGTGCTGCGCGTCTGTAAACGTGACTGAGCAGATCATGAGGCAGAGACGGTATGTGGTAAGCATCAGAGCTGTTTAAGACAGAGATGAAGCTGAAAGAGCATCTCAGCTCACTATGTAAACCATCCAGCGGTTCACACAGACATGAAAACCCAGCGCGCGCTTCAAGAGGAGCAACTCCAACTTCAGGTCAGGTAAATGCAGAGCACTAAAGCCAACATCTGGATTACACCTTATAATTCTGATTCCTAGACCTGTTCTCTATTTCTTATAGTAATAATATGATGATGATAATGAAGATGAAGATGATAATGAAGGTGATAATGAAGATGATGATGATGATGATGATTATTATTATTATCAGAAATAGTACTAACCTCTACCTTTACTCGCTGCTGTGATGACACCTTCAAGGGTACATCTTTTGTTCCTTCTGTATGTCTTCTGTATCATTCACCTGGAAACACAGACATTCTCTACCTTTAAAATGATTTAAGACAGTGGCTCTCAAACTTTTTGCAGCCCTTTAACTGTAAAATAAATTCCATTGACCTCAGTGCAGATTTATTTCATTAATATTATTTATATGTGTACAATAATATTTTGATTATTCATTGGAGTTCTAGAGCTTTCTATTCCTGAACTTTCCACCCACAGAACACATTAGGTCCATGTTAACATTGTTTATAAATTTGTGTTTTCGAGTCACTGAGGTGTGGATTAAACCCTTTCAGTATAAGAGGCCAGTGAAACAGGTTAACTATAATAACTCAGTACTATAATACCTTTGATCATAGGAGGTTGTGATTTTCATCATCAAAATAATAATAAAAAAAATTCACAGTCCCCTGGGGGTCCTCGACCCCACTTTGAGACCCCGTGATTTAATTTAATTAGCTTTGAGAGTAATACTTTACTAGAGTAACACACTGAATTTTTATTTCTAGGTAAAAGATGCATACTAAACCCTAAAAAAGAAAGGTGTACCCTTGAAGGTACCTCACCCCAGCTAAGGGAAAGTATGGTTTAGTACCTTGTTTTGAGAGTGTATATAAAGTTTAATTAGTAGATTTTCACTACCTACTGATAGTCTTCATTCTTCACCTTGGTGTGACCTGGTGTGAATAGAAGCTTTTTGCAAGTTAAAGTAATATTTTCTAGGCTATTTCTAAGCCTTTATTTCTATAAAAAATTAAACCACATATCTTATCCTCTCCCATACTCTCCTCCTTTATTTAGCTACCTACAGTCTTATATTAATAAGGATAAATCTAACACCCTTAAAATCTAAAGAACCCTTAAAGGTTCTATGTAGAACTGAAGAAGTAGGTTTTTCTTTGAGAGAGTGTTCCAGGTAGAACCTCTCTAGACAGATAGAACCATTAACAATCCAAAGAACCCTTTTTTTCCCCTAATGGCATGCTGTGAAGTAGACCTTTGCTATCTAATGGTTTGCACATTGACATTTTAATTTCCTGTAGTGCCTTTCCCCCACAGGGTTGCAGCTCAAAATGCTTTCTGCACAGTTCTGTTCGTTTTTAAGTGACAGTGTGTTGGCAGTCCTTTAGTCTATACCTTGCATTAGCCGAAAACAGTATTTCTCATTCAGGACTTGATAAGAACCATATAGCAACCATTCTAAACCAATCTGTGAAAAATGTGCCACTCAGTCCTGATGTGTTACAGTGATTGATGTACAAGTCAAGGAGTCAAGGATTGTGCCAGTTCATGAGGAAGAATGTGGAAAGTGCAGATTTTATCTAGTCCACTTGATTTTCCTCAGTGTATGACGAAATAGGTCAGAGGTTCTTAGCTGCAATACTGCGGCTTTGTTCCCTGTCCGCAACACACCTAACCCACTTTAAGTACCCAATAATTAGCTGATCAGCTGGTAATACGAAAAACTTTACAGGATAGGGGTCCCCAGGAATTGATTTGAGAACCGCTGTGATGAGTAGAACCCTTAACTTTTCAATGTAGAAAGCTTGAGTAGAATCCTTTCTGCAGTTAAAAACTATGAAAGAACCCTTGAAAAATCCTTGAAGTGTATAAATAGCTCATATTAGAACTCATTCTTGATCAAGAGAACTGATGAGAGAAATTTGAATACCTCATTCAAAAGCTGTTTCCTTTTTATTCAGTGCAAATAATGCTCTCAATCTCATATCCTTGTCCTCTCAGATCACCTATCAGAGACACACAATGACATTTAAGTGCCTTTGGTAGTTTGGCATAGGCAAGGCTTCTTAGAAATTATTTTGATGATAATAAGAGAGATGATGAACTGGAGGGACACTTTTGAATAAACCTAAATAGCCACGAGTTAATAAAGCATATTTTAGGTGCATGTAATCTTGTCAAATTTTGCTCAGAGTAGGGCACAGAGCATTTGGGCTAAAATAAATGTACGCTTTCAAGTATTTCTAAAGAGCAAATTAGTTCATGCCGTTTCTTGAAATGTAGCTGAAATCAGTAAATACACACCTCTTATCTATTAGCTACGGGGTCTGTGAAGGGTAGAAGGAAGAAATCGTGACAAATATGACTTCTTTTTCCATTTTTATTCTAAAACATCATGAGGTAAATAGGCTGTTGATGTGAGCTTTTGGAAAACAATGCTGATAAATTCCCCAACATGGCTCTGGCCCAACCAAAGCTAGGCGTTTCATGTGGATTAGAAGTCAGAAAGAGTTTTGATAAAAAGAAATGATCATTTATTTAAGCTCTACTGAGCTCACCAGCTAGCTAGCAGCATTTTTTTTTACAATCTTGACATATTCCATTTTACAGTGCATCAGCTCATGTCAGCCTAGTGAGCTTCTCTTATGAAATTACATGCGATTAGTGCTGATCAAAAAGGAATCAGGAAAGTTACTCAAATATGGCAGATGCTGAGCACTCAGATTTTCCTTTTGAATAAAGCACATAAAGTGCACAGGACTCCTACGCTTACTGTCTGATTCCACTCCTGGCACTAAATATGCGGATTGGCCGCTGCTGGTACAGAGGAAGGATGTTGTCTGGGCTGAGGATTGTGGATAGTGGGGTACCAGTAGGCTAATGGAACAGTGTGCAGCATTGTTCTGGTGGCAGGCAGAGCTATGGCTCTATTTGTGGTGGGTCTGGAGTACAAAGAGGACACAGTACAAAGCAGCCTCATACCAAC